GGGGGGCAAGAGTGGGAGGGCTTCTGGTGCCCTGGCCCCACTGGTGGACCTCCTGATGGCACCTGGTATTTTTGGCCCCTGTGTGACAGAGTGTTGGACTAGAGGGGCCATTGGCCTGATCCAACATTGGCTTCTCTTATGTTCTTATATGGAGCAGAGGTCCATCAGTGTCTATTAGCCACAAGGTGTAGATAGGAACCCTCGTTCTGAGGCAAGGGATGCTCTGTACTCTTAGTGCTTGGGGGGGGGCAACAGTGGGAGGGCTTCTGGTGTCCTGGCCCCACTGGTGGACCTCCTGATGGCACCTGGTATTTTTGGCCACTGTGTGACAGAGTGTTGGACTGGATGGGCCATTGGCCTGATCCAACACTGGCTTCTCTTATGTTCCTATGTTATGTTCTTAATGTTGAGGGCAGGGGACTGTCAGATAAAGGGAAAGGAAGAAGAAGAAGAAGAAGAAGAAGAAATTGGATTTATACCCCGCCCTTCACTGCTCGAAAGAGTATCAGAGTGGCTTACAATCTCCTTTCCCTTCCCCTCCCCACCACAGACACCCTGTGAGGGAGGTGGGGCTGAGAGAGCTCTTTCGAGGACTGCCCCTGAGAGAACTTTTCTGAAAGAACTTGTGACTGACCCAAGGTCACACCAGCTGGCTGCATGTGGAGGAGTGGGGAAATCAAACCCAGTTCTCCCAGACTAGAGGCTGCACCCTTAACTACTACACCAAAGGAACCCGGAAGGGCAATCCACTTCAGTCTAAGACCACTGATTCTGATAGGATTAGACTGAAATAACTCTGCAGAGGGTGGCACTGTAGACAGTGGGAGGAAAGCTGAGCTGCTCAGATACTTCAGAGGTTATAGTGTCCCAGAAGGACAGATCTGAGCTGGCAGAAGTTTATCAGCCATTTACCCCCCGCCGACTGAAATAACTCTGCAGAGGGTGGCACTGTAGACAGTGGGAGGAAAGCTGAACTGCTCAGATACTTCAGAGGTTATAGTGTCCCAGAAGGACAGATCTGAGCTGGCAGAAGTTTATCAGCCATTTACCCCCCGCCGCCGCCACTGCTCAAGCAATTCCTCTTGAACCCCCAACATGCCGAGTTTAAAAACAAACACAATCTTGAATTGCATCTAGCAGATTCATCCAGTTCCCCTATTAGGGAGGCTTTTGGAAGACTTTTATAAATAAATAATTTCGGCAGAGGTCATTTCCTGCAGGAACGCACTGGAGCGGAGTTCCGGCAGTAAACGCACCGGAGCAGAGCTCCGGCAGTAAAGAGCCCAGGGGGCGGGCACATGCAACAAGCCCCGCCCCCTGCTCCCAGCAGCCCCGAACCAAGAGGAGCAAGATGCAGCCAGGTAAGTTGCAGAGCCCCCCCATAGATAGCAACCCAAAACAGTCCAGTGGCAGCTTTATTTAGGTACAAGCTCTCCCTCCTCTGTGAGGGCAGATCTGTGTGGGAACCCCCCGCATAGCTAGCAATCCAAAAGACTCCAGTGGAGCCTGAGCGGTGGATGTTGTCTTCTGACACACTCCCGCTGATGTCAGGGGGTGTGGCATATGCAAATCAGTTATGCTAATGAGTTATGCTAATGAGCTCCTGCACCTCTTTTTCTACGAAATGACCCCTGAATATAGGGTGTGGCATATGCAAATAAGTTATGCTAATGAGTTGTGCTAATGAGCTCCTGCACCTCTTTTTCTACAAAATGACCCCTGAATATAGGCATACGAACATTTTGGAGAGAACATCGATTAAATCTTTATATTAATATTCAAAATACTTATGCAAAACTATTTGGCGATAATAATCGTCGTAAATGTTGCAGGAGGTGACGGATAATACAGATAAGCATATCTATCTCCCATTTTATGTGAATGTGCTATGTCTGTTTTTGTTGGTTGATACGGAAAAAATAAAAAAAAATTTTTTTAAAGGAAGGCTTTTGCTTTGCTCAGAAGGCAGCTCCTGCCAGGCATGCCATATAAGAATCCCTTTTGACCTCTGAGTCTCTGCCAGTTCGGACCTTATAACTTTTGATGCGAGCAGGAGTTCTCTGTACCACATAGACCTCCACCGTCTTGGACATGCCAGGGAGGAGGCAGGCAGTTGGCAAGTGGCTGTTCCTCCAGGGGGCACACAAGGCAGTAAACGGACCCCTGGTGACTAGACACTGGGCAGTGGGGGGCACAGGGGCAAGGCCTCAGAACTTGGAAGGGAAGCTGGGAGTCCGGACCCTCCCAGTGGGCAGTCCCTGCAAAATGTCAGCTGGTGGCGGTGAGCTAGCCTGAGAGTGAAAGAAAAGCCTCTCGAGGTGTTGAGCAAACCCCAGAGAGGCAGGGTAGAAAAGGGCCAGACAAGAGCAGGCACATTCCTCCACAGCCGCAGTGGCTAGATGGAACCCTCATATTCAGAGGCAGTCTACTCTGAATAGCAGTTGCTGGTGGGGGGACAAGAACTGAGGGGGAATTTGGCCTCTGTGCCCTGCTTGTAGACCTTTGATGGACATCTGGAGGATGCAAGACGAGATGGCCCACTGGTCTGATCCAGGAAGAAGAAGAAGAAGAAGAAGAAGAAGAAGAAGAAGAAGAAGAAGAAGAAGAAGAAGAAGAAGAAGAAGAAGAAGAAGAAGAAGAAGAAGAAGAAGAAGAAGAGGAGGAG